CTCTTCTTCTTTGGGATGTTGAGGATACCATACAGAAGGTTGTGGAAATTATCCCAGCCATTTCGCCTGGAACTCATCTGTCTGCTCATTTCCTGAGGATGGAGCACATTGGGCTGGGTATCCCGAGTACAAGACCGATTTTAATTCAACATATCTGGCCTTTAGGCAACATACAGGCCGTGTTGTCCTGATCAGACCATTATTTTGATCTGTTGAGTCTTCACAAATAGTGCTCATCCTGCAACAAGCCATGAGTCTAATAAGTATAGCAGTTCCAGTGCCCTTTTGTTGTGTTTATTGAGTGACACATATTACTTCCGCACATGTAAGGGGGCAAATTGCTCCGTTTTAGAAAAGCAACAAAAATAGTGCAGATGTCCACCTGCTGATAGACAGTGTACTCTGCTAGGACAAGCCAGATACGTAAGCCTAATATTGAAAAACTTGAGTCCAAACAGTTTTACTGACATGGCATCTGTAGCATAAGATTCGGTGAATTTACCTGAAATCCAAAATTTCATGTTTGGATACTTCTCATCAAATTACTGTTACATAACTACTGCACGTTTTTCATAATGAATATTTTACATGTGTCAGTTATTCTGTGTAGTACATTCATTACAATATAATGATTACTTCATTATGTGTAGCTTGTTGAGTGTCCTGAATAAATCTGACCAGGCAGTTTATCGTGTGACTGAATCAAAAAGATCTGCGCCAATACAACCACTTAGGAACAATGAGGCCACCAAGCTAACAATTGGAGAAAATAAACATACCCACAACAGAATATTTAAAATATGTGTTGTGCTAGTTTGTATATATATTTTTGTGTGTGTTCACTGAATTAAAAAAAATTCCTATATCATCCATCACAGGAGGACTGGAACACCTCAGTTAGCCAATGTTTTGTTAATGATACTTTAAACTCACATGTAAGCCAAAGTTTGTCTATAAATATTTAAGCCACATGCGAGCCTAAATTCTATTATAGATAATTTAGAACACACACACTTTGAGACAGTTAATCAAGATAGTATTTGTCTGTCTAAGCTGCACGGACTAGACTGCAAATTCTGGCTTGTCTTCACATACACATGAAGAAGAGAAACTACAAATAAAAAGAAAAGAACTTGAATTGTAATTTAATAAACCAGTTGGTTCCAGGTAGATAATAATGATAATACTTATACATCTGAGTTGCTTAGAAAACTCAAAGATTTTGGTCATTTAGAAAGTCAAGAAACAACGTCATCACTTGAAGTTCTTAACAGCTCAGAAAACTCAAAGATTTTGGTCATTTAGAAAGTCAAGAAACAACGTCATCACTTGAAGTTCTTAACAGCTCAGAAAACTCGGGAACCAAATGGCATAGTTTAAAGAAATAACTGCCATAAAAAAAAAAACGTAACATTTTTTTTTAACTTTTTATTGCTTAGAAAACCACAGATTCAATAGCATGGTCTAAACTTTTTGGTCACTCAGAAAACCTATAATCAACAGCATGGCCAAAAGTTCTTAGTCACTTAGAAAACCCAGATTCAACGGCATGGCTTAAACTTCTCAGTGACTTTGAAAGCCCAGAATCAATGGCATGGCTTAAACTTCTTGGTCACTTAGAAAATCCAGAATCAACGGCGTGGTTTAAACTTATTGGTCACCAGAAATCATAGAATGAACGGCATGGCTTAAACTTCTTGGTCACTTAGAAAATCCAGAATCAACGGTGTGGCTCAAACTTATTGGTCACCAGAAATCACAGAATCAATGGTATGGCTTAAACTTCTTGGTCACTTAGAAAATCCAGAATCAACGGTGTGGCTTAAACTTATTGGTCACCAGAAATCATAGAATCAATGGTATGGCTTCAACTATTGGTCACCCAGAATCAACAGCGTGGCTTAATCTTCTTGGTCGTTTGGAAAATCCAGAATCAACGGCATGGCTTAAACTTCTTGGTCACTTAAACCCCCCCCCTCAATGGTGTGGCATGGCTTAAACTTCTTAGTGACTTAGAAAACCCAGAATCAATGGTGTGGCAAAACTTTTTGGTCAATTAGAAATTTTAGATTCAACAGCATGGCTCAAGCTTTCTTAATGCTTTGGATCTATCCTGTTAATGATATTCCCCCATGCAATTATATTATACCATACAATATACAAACTCAGGTGACATAAATGAACATCATAAAAACCAGAGCTATTCAAATGACGGCCCATGGGCCACATCTGGCCTGAAGAGGCCTAGCAAGTGGCCTGCAAATCACCTTCCAATTGTATAGTAGTAATGATCTTTCTATGCTGGGGCACAGGCCATTGGCCCACAACGATTCCCATTTCCCAACATTTTGGGCCCCGAGTCAATTTAGTTGAATAGCCCTGATGAAAACCATCATATGCTAAAAATTACCCTAATATTATACATACACTTACCAATGTTACAATTCCCTCAATAAAACAATGACAGTGGCTCGCAGGTCTTGGAACTGGTACCTTGGAAGTGAAGGTGGATGGCGAGATGTCGACCACATCAACCAGCGAGTGCCAGTTGGTCTATAAGACATTGAGTCTAACATTATATGCCTGATGCATCAAAGGCATGAACAGTGTTCTTTACTTCACTATTTTTTCACCCAATTTTTAAAAAAAAAAAAAACCAGCACATATGCCAGGTAATGGTAAAGGTGAGAGGGTAAACTTCATTGCACCAGGTTTTATCCAAAATGTGTTCATTTTTTGGTAATCCAGTGATTAGCTGATCCACTCATCCAGTGATCTGCTTTTCCGTGGATCTAGGGATCCGTTTATCTATGGATCCAAGGATATGTTGATCGACCTATTCAAGAATCTTTTCATCTACTAATCCTCATTCACTGATCCAGTGATGTCTCTTAGTCCATGTTTCAACTTCACTTCAATCGGGTCACCCTATTCTTGCTACGTTCCTATGAAAGTGAAAATCTAATGGATCAGTCTCTCTCTGCAGAACAGCTAGATACCTGTGGAGAGCGTCGCACAGAGCATGACCTCTGTAGCTCTGGCAACCATTGCAGGGATCTTCGTAAAAACTGCACTTGTGAACTGAACGGCGCCGCCGTGAATGAACCCAAAACCTTCAGAGTGTAAGGCCAAGGGTATGACCACTTCACCCCAGAGACCCCGAGCACATATGTCATTAATCCTGTTGCTCTGAAAGGGCTAAATCTAGTTGCTCTGGGCATTGTCACAGCCATGTAAAGCTGATATATGGCCATTTCTGCAGTGACCTGTTCTTGAAAAGTGTAGTGAAATGCCACTGGTTCTATGTGCGCCAATGGATGGCAAATTTGTGTATGACAAGCCAGATGTGGTCAAGGTCTTCTGGGAGCAACTGATCAATGAGAGGTGCATAAAGATCATTATGGTCTGGAGAAAATGGTACACATAGGTTTGACAGAGGAACTGTCAACACTCTACACTCACAAGAAAGACAATCAAATTGCCTCAGACAACATCTGAACTGGAACTCTCTTCACTGGCTGCTACAGATGAGGATGGAGCACTTACTGGTATGTCTCAAGTGCTGTGATATCAATTCATAGCTTAACACTTATTTTTGTGTACAGATTATGTCCAGCATGTCTCTCCGAGTCTTCCCCTGCTTTTTCCCCCCAACTTTCCTTTTCATGCAGGCACTCAGCTCTCTTTGTGAGTTAATTTCTTTGCAGGCACCATTTCTATGTTTTTTATCTGTCACAGTGCTCTCATAATTCTTCTCTAAAAATAACATCTCAACATCATCATCACGTGCCATGCTGGTAAGCCTAGGCTGTTATGTTTTGCCATCTCATGGATAGCATCAGCGTTCTGGTCTCACCCCATCCATATGGTTGAGCCATCATCATCATTGTCATGTGCCAAGCCAGTAAGCGTAGGCTGTCATGTTTTTCCACCTCAACGATCACCAGAATCATGGATCAGTTCAATGTTTTTGTTTCGCCCCATCCATCTGGCCGGATCATGCAGGTATTTATTATCTCTTTGCCTTACTTTTGCTCTCTTTCCATCAATCTTGCCAGATGTTTTCGAGGTCATTTCTTCTCTTAACATGTCCACACACAAATATTAACTGTTTACGTCTAATTGTTCCAAATTTACAACTTTCATCTGTCTCAATGAGGACTGCTTCATTTGTTTTTCTTTCCTTGCATGATATTCTTTTTCTCAGAAACTACATCTCTGAAGCAAGTAAAAGTTATGTCATGCAAGTATTTATCTTGTTGCCTTCTTCTTGCATCTTTTTCATCTCAACAGCTTCTAGCGAAGTTATCAAGGTATGAATGAAAACAAAACAGTCAAGAGTAGTGCCACACTTATACAGGCAGATGTGGTGATCTAGTGGCTTGTTTGCCAGCCCAAAGGTGTGGGATTAAATCCACATTAAGGCACATTTTTTTTTTCAAACTGATCTTTGCTCCCAGGTCAATGCAGTCTAAAATGGGTACCAGCTAATGTCCTGGGAAATAAAGGTGGCCGGCTTGATGTTGACCCCCCCCCCCCCCCCCCCCCCCCATCATACGGATGGGCCTAAAATATATCACATATTTATTGTGTCACTAGTTCTTTATTTTATTATCACACTTAAACATATTGCCACAGATCAGGAAGAGTGGAAGACCTAAAGTATGAATGCATCTGTTGGACTCCTTATTCCACTCCCATGACCCACAAATAGGGGTCCTACAATGTTAAAACAAACTTCTGTGTGGGAGTGAAGCTTTAGTCAACTTACTTGTACCAGGAGGAACTTATTGTAGAAAATTCTTCTTAACATGAACTGGTCCTGACAGATCTATTAGTGTATGTACAAAACTGCAAATTCTGGCTTTTCCCCACATAGGGATGCGATTTAGCCATTACAATGGGCTGTGAATCCCATGCCCCCCTCATAGCACAATGAAACATTGTGATTCACAAAGACAGAAATGTGCCACCCAAAAATAATAAAAGAAGTAACAACCTCAACTGGTATGGTTCCACTTTCCCAGTAACCCATTCAAACGTGTCATGTTTATCAATGCTGCTGCAGCCTTTTCTGTAGCCGAGTTGATGACAGATATATATGGTGTTACCATACTTCCAGTGAGTGTTCCAGTGACTTTCTGCCTGGCCGAGTCTGTTACATTGAGGATATATGGTGCTACCATGGTTTTGGTGAGGGTTTCAGTGCTGTTCTGGGTGGCTAACTCTGTTACACTGAGGGTGGTAGACATAAGACTATATGCTGCAGTTGTGGATGTTTCAGTGTACAGTTTGTTGACCATATTTGGGCCACTCATGTGAACCACTGAATTCCACACACCAAAGAATGTTCTGTGGGATTAAAAAAAAAACATTTTAAAGGCAGACAAATATCTTCTCCTTCTTCTTCACATTCACCAGCTGTAAATTTTGAGGGAAAGTTCAGAGTTTTTGAAGGATGCCACAATTAGTTGACTCCTATGACATGCTTGCTGGGGAGGCAGTGTGTCTATTCTTGTTTTCCCCACAATACGGCCCGGGAACCCCACATGGGCAATGGACACATATACAATTAGATATTTGTTATTTGTAAATCAGACATTTATCACACAAAATATGAATAACTTCTAGGTTTGGATTTAAACAACGGATCAACATCATGGTACAAGGGTAGTAAACCCATTAGTTCTCCGCACCACTTCTAACTCAAGTTTGAGTCCAAAGAATCTCAGCGCAGTGCACAAACTCTGTAGCACCCGTGAGTGTGTGTGTGTGTGTGCAGAGGCAGTCCTCCTTGAGAGAAACAAGTCGTAAACTGAATAAACAAATTAGATAAAGACAAATTAGATAAAGACAAATTAGATAAAGACAAATTAGATGTAGACAGATTAGAGATGTAATGTTTTTCAGACATGTTATGAGAAGGAATGGACTCAAGAACTTTGTAGACTGACAAGATTGATGGAATGAGAGCAAGGGGAAGGCAAAGAGATAATAACCTGATTGGCTTTGTTATATGGATGGGGCAGAGATATAAACACTGATCTGATCCATAATCCTGGTGATCATGTGGGACAGTGAAACATGATAGCACACAATCACTGTCACAACACATAATTTTATATATGCCCTGTATATGTTGTTCGTCCATCATGAGTGATGAAGACCACTTTCATCCACAGTAGTAATGATCAATGATTATGAGTACGAAGGTTGCTGATTAGTGCAGTATGAACCATACAAGTTTTTGAGCAATGTGGACAAGAGATGGAAGCCGCAGTAGGTGTGAGATTAGCAGTACAATTCTTTCTAGTCTGCCTCCATTTCTCTGTCTGTGCAACCTCCGCTGCCTTGCAGGCTGATGCACCATGCCTGAGGGAGGTACGCCATCCAGTACGGTCTTGTGCTGCAGCCTCCCACGTTGCTGTGTTGATGCCAAAAGAATTACACACACACACACAAACAAACAAACAAGCAAGTACGCACTCACGCACACAGTTGAAAAGAGGTAGAAGGGAATGTTGTATATTTATACCTGTTGATTGGAAAATCCACATAAGGAAAATAAGGCTAATCTTTAGGAAAAGACAAGTGTTGTGGTCGTCTGAGCAAAATCTGTTGGCAGAAAGATCTAATGAACTCACCCCAGAACTCCAACTGTGATCAGCAACCAGTCAAACATCAGCTGTTTGAGATGCATGTTCCTGTCATCAGTCAAAAGTAAATATGGTCACCATTCATGACATTCATGTGTATTTATTATTTTGTTAATCCAGTGATTAGCTGATCCAATCATTCAGTGATCTGCTTATCCATGAATCTAGGGATCCGTTTATCTACAGATCCAGGGATATGTTGATCCAAGAATCTTTTTATTCACTCATTCACTGATCCAGTTATGTCTTAGTCAATGTTGCAACTTTACTGCAATCCGGTCACTCTATACTTGCTATGTTTCTGTGAAAGTGAATATCAAATGAATTGTTTCTCATTGTCCCATTTGAAAGACTGGTGATTAAACAATTCTTCCCTGCACAATCCAGAATTTGCAGGCAGTAAATGCACAGGGCTGTTGCTAGAAGCACCAAAGTCAACAGTCGCCACCAGAAATACAGATTGTCATTGATGGAAGTAGTCAGGGCACGTTAAGTTGGCTATCCACGCGTAGAATTATTACATGAGGTATTTCATCAGCCCACATGTAAACCGCTACCGGCCATACTGTACTGAATACAATGACTTAACAGTTTCACAAATGAAAGGCATTCCACACAATCACACACATACACAAAACACACCTCACAGGGCTGCACCAAGCATTAACAGTAGCATAGGCAGCCATACCACAGACTACTGTCCATATGTGGAAAGTGCATTAGCAAAGTGCTCTCGGAAGCAAAAAATAACTTATTAGCTCAACATTCTGCTATGCCTTTTCCTCCATTTTTAAATGGAAGTGTGTGTACATTCAGTGATGATCTCATCCACTGATGTGTTCATCCACTGATCCAATTATGTCATGTCAAGCTGAACTGCAAGAATAGTACGAATTCTGCTGAGCATGTCAATCTAGCATGAGTTCTGTTTTGTAACCGACCTGGAGCTTCTTCTTGTTCTTATCATTCACTGGCTATAAACCCCAAAAGAAAGTTCTGGTTGTTTGTCTACTTCTGGACTTTTTACAGATCTAGTTTATTTGTATGCAGATTATTGGTTCCACAACACTCAGGCAGATGCACTGACACTTCAAAGCAAATACCCCTTATTAGTCACTGTTGACTGCATGCTTGTTAGGGGGCAGAGAGTCTTTCCTTGTTTTCTCCTCCCCAAAGGGGGTCCTTGATCCCCGCATAGAGATGAGATTTATTATAATGGACATCTAACAATTCACTGAAACTCAGTCACAATTCCATGTATCCATTCGGTCAAGAAATCCATAAATATATCCATTTTCCCTCATTTATATCCAACTAATGATTCACCGAAGATAGACTACATTCCACCAGGTTTGATTATATATGGCTCAGTCTCCCTCCAAAGAATCGCTAGCCACTGGCTGAGATTTTCGCACAAAGTATCTTAGCTCTGGCAACGATTCCTGGGGGTCTCTGTAAAAATGTCACTTGTGAATCGTATGACACAGTGGTGAAACAAACTCAGGACCTTCACAGCATGGGTAAGCAGCTTGACCACTTTGCCACAGAGACCTGCCTATGTACACACCCATATACAAACAACACTATACTATACAACCAACCTGTCTATGTACACACTATGTACAAACATATATATATATATATATATATATATATATATATATATATATATATATATATATATATATATATAAAAAATCAGCCTGTCCACATACCTATGTACAAATATAACATTCTAATGTACGAACAAAGATAAGAAGTATAACTACACTGTCTCTGTACAAATAAAGATAAGTTTCAACTCACCCCTTAAATAGGCGCATATGAAAAAAACCTGGCAAGATAAACGACAATAGTGTGCAGCAACAAGCCCCAACCAAGGCCATGAGATCAGCAAAATTCGGAACAAGGATGACGATCATGCCAGTCAGCAGTACAACCAAACCTCTGAGAATGTTCTGTGGAAACCACCAAAAAAGACCAGAATTTTTTTTTTTTATATTTAAAAATAACCGCATGTATTTCTCAGCAGCATGTATTTTCAGCACCAAGTAGTTGACACTTTAACCCCCATTCCAAAGAGTTCAATTTAAAACAAAACTGATTAAAAGAGAGCTGAATGCCCATCAGAAGGAGAAAACACTCTTTGGTCATGTCATGAGAAGAAGACATGTGGAGTACATTGTGATGGCGGGAAAGTTAGATGGGAAAAGAGGCATAGGGCAACAGAGAGAAGACGCTGAACAGTTTGACATCATGGGATGGGAAATCATCCGTATCAGAAGTGACTGACAATAAATGAAACAGAAAGTTGTGGATAGAAATGGCAATCTTGTTCATGTTTCAAGGCCCAGGATTTGAGTAACTTCCCTTGCCTATCATGCCTCCTTAGGTCGCTGGACCTCTCCTATGTTGCAGGGGTTTTATGATATGGCTTGGTTTGGTGTTCGCTCGACGTATGTAATGTCTGCTGGAGGCGCAGTAGGTGATTGTGTAAAGTAAAAGTACGGCAGGGAAAATCGTGGCAGGCAGACGATTCTTGGCTATCGAAACAGGGATGTTTTTGTGTTTCTATGTTCGTTGGCGGTGGCTCCATAGGAATAGAACATTTTTCTTCTTTTCTATGGAATAGAAAAATATTGCTGGTTCTATACTCCCAAGTAGATAGCAGAACGTGAAAATAATCCAGAACGTGAAAATAATCAAGCAAGCAAGCGATGAGAAGATGATAAAAGAGGCAATGGTTAAACCGTTCACAATAAGGAAAACATGACTCCCCGCAACGTAGGAGAGGTCCAGCGACCTAAGGAGGCATGAATGGCAAGGGAAGTTACTCTAATCCTCGGCCTGGAAACATGAAAAGCACCAAAATAGCTACCAATGTCACAAGGTATGGAAAATCATCTCGGTCATAGCTGACTGAAAACACATGGACAGAAAGTTGTGGATAGACATGACTACTAACACAAGATAGGAAAGATCATATGTGTCAGAAACTATTGAAAGTAGACAAGTATGGCTACCAACACCACAAGGCAATGGACTATAAAAAGAAGAAAAAGATTAAAAGCAATTAATATTCAAGTCTGAAGGAGATGAACAGAGAAACTGTGAGACAAAAGTAGTCAAAGTAATAGTTCAGATACAAAGAGTTCATATAATGACTGTCTACCAAGAAGCATATAGTGCTGAAGAAGTTAAAAAAAAAGGATAGCAGATACAAATATAAGCAGCAATGTAAATTATAGTAATATCAAAATTACTCACTTAATGGGACAATTTAAGGAACAAGACAAATTGAAAACCTTTGGCCCCATTAATAAATTTTAAAAAATCAGGCTTGAGTTAGAAGTAGAATCCAGCACTTATGGGTTACTACCCTTGTGCCATGATGTTGATCCGGTGTATAAACCAAACCATAAGTAAATTTGAAGAAAATAAAATTGTATATTTAACTAAATTCCGTTAAAAAGAACTGTAATTTTCTAAAACTCTACACGAAGAAACTAGAGGAAGAGAAGAAGAAGCAGAAGACAATGGAGTCTTAGTCATTTTTTTTCTTTATCTGAGGATTTGAAGCCTAGACCACTGAGTAGACAGGCAAGCATAATGGCTATTGGAACAAAGCAGCCATCAATTCACTAAAACAATTCATATTAATTGTTGTTTTCACTTTTATGAGCAAAATAATCACTAAATCGGAAGGAAGCAGAGACTTAAGTGCCTTCCTTCCCTTTGACTATAATAAACATGGCTCTGGTGACTTAACCAAGTAGAGCAAAGTGATGTGGTCAGATTATTAGACGTAATGATCATGTCGCCGGTTTTTAAAATTTAATTCAAATAATATCTTTCTTTTTTTTTGTGTGTATATAATCATACCAACTTCTACACACTGAGCAGTATAACTCATAACAAAGCTTTTATACAAGTATTGTGGCCTATGCCCAAAAAATGTCATGTCATAAAAACTTGCACATGCTGGAAAAATGGCTTTCTCAGGGCGACAGGGTTAAAGGGTGTAACAAGCTAAGAGCACAGATTTAATTCACCAGGTTTTAACTAATTTATTCTCCTCGTGGAGTTCCGAGACTACATTTGAAAGAGGAAAAAAATACAGAGCCCAGCCCCTTAAAAAATATATCGCCCGGCTCGCTAGTGTAGTTGGCTAAACCGGATTGCGCGGTGACCGGGTGATGAACTCCTTGTGGTCCAGGTTCACTCCCGGGGGTAGGCAGAAAAGCCACATTTCTCCCAGATTTACGGTATTTACAATGGAATCAAGGCCGAAAGGTTGCGATATCCATAATACCGAGCCTAAGGGTTAACAACTCATGGCTTCTGGATACTAAAACAAACAAACAACAACAAGCATATCACAAAAGGCAAAAATAAAGGTTTGCTGACACCACAAGGTTTTGATGCTTCCTTCCTGGCAATCATAATGTTAACCCCACCTGCACTGGTCATTTCTAACTCTAAAGTGACAACTACTTGACAACACACAGAGTTCAGATAATGTGAGAGATCTATGAAGTAAATCAATGAACATAAGGTGGCCAATCTGGCACAGTAAGAGGATGGGTGTTATGAAATACAGGTCTAGCTGATGCAAACATTCTCACCCCTTTCCACGCAGTGTTGCCAGCATCAGGAATGAAGTAGTGCTCTAGTATCTTCATCACAGGAAACATCATTACTGAGAACAGGAACAGATGAGAAATCTCAATAATTTTTTTTTTTTTTTTTAAACAGATAAGAAACATCAATAGGAAAATTTGTAGGTGTAGAAAAAAAAATAGAAACACTAATGGGGATAAAAACAAATGAGAAACATAAATTTTTTACAATAAACAAAAAAAAAAAAAGATGAAAAACATCAAAGGGGATAAAAACATGAGAAATATCACTGGAGATTTTAAAAGAAAAAATAGATGAGAAACATTCAAATGGGATAAAACATATTGAGAAACATCAGCAGGGAGTAAAAACAATAAGAAAGATCAACAGGGATGAAAAAAAGATGAGAAACACCAATGGTGATAAAAAACAGTTAAGAAACATCAATAGGGATAAAACATATGAAAACATCAGCAGGTAAAAGTAAAAACAATCGGAAAGATCAATAGGGATAAAAACAAAACAAAACCAGAAACACCAATGATGATTAAAAAAACGGATGACAAACATTAGCGGAGAAAAAAAAAAGATGAAACCATCAACAGTAATGACAAAAAAAGATGAGAAACACCAATACGGATAAAAACTGATAAGGAACATCAGTGTGGGAACAGAAAACATATGAGAAACATCAGTATGAGAACAGAAAACAGATTAGAAACATCAGTGTGGGAACTGAAAACAGATGAGAAGTATCAGTGTGGGGATAGAACAGATGAGAATTTCAATGGAACTTAAAAACAGCTGAGAAACATCTGTGGGTATTAATACAGAGAGAAAACTCCAAGTCCAGGAAACAAAAACAAAAAAACTGAAACATCATCCAGTTTCTACATATTATCTGCTAATTAACTTCAATTCTAGATAATTACTGATGTACCATAATTGCTACATTCTCTAAATCCCAAACAGTTTGTGCTGTATCCTTTTTTTTCTATTTGTTAATTGAAATATTACTGTCCCTACTGTAATTCCTTCAACAACCAACTAATTATATCACTTTAACACATTCTAACACAGTGTGCAGCATTTCTACAGGTATATTAACTCTTAATGTCCCAAACAATGCAGAGTGTGTGATGGGACCCTCCTCATGAACCACGACCAGCAAACAAGGAGTTCTCTTATACTTAAATTTGTTTAGTGGTTGCTAAATAAATCTGACTATCCATGCGTGCAGCCTCTGTTCGGCATTCATAATTTATATCCCCTTGCAAATTTACTGTGAAATCTTCTTTTAGAGTCAAAAATTGGTAATGGGTAAAAAAGGGGGAGGGGAGGGGAAAATGTAAAAATTAAAGAACAACTTGGCAAGTCAGACATCAAAACAAGTGTCCACCAACCTGGGTATGTGAAGAACAGAGCCAGGCACAAACAGGATTTCACAACCAAACTGAAACCAAAACCGGAACCTGTGAAAGAAACAACAAATTTTCAGTCCATTTCACATTAAATAACAAGTTAAGAACATTTATATATATTTCACTGCTACTTGTAGGTCAGGTTAAAATTCTCAAGATACGCATTTATGCTGACAATTCTAATGACTACTATTACAGAATGCCCCCAGTGCCCCACTCTCTTGCTTTGCCTGTTCACTGTCAAAGAAGCAGAAAGATCTTTTATTCCCAGTGCTGGTTCAGATCTTGCTGTGAAGTGTTCTAGTGCCAGGTAAGCTGTGCTGGTTACACTGACAGACCTTCCCAGGCATCTCATCTCACACACTCCCTGTGTGGGTTTCAGGACCCCATTTTGGGTGAAGTGAAGATTAGACCCGCTGCCCCCTCTCCCACCCCCCAACAAGCATGTCATAAAAGGCAAATAATTACGGGTGTTTCCTCTGGAGTGCATCTGCTCGAGAGGCAAGGAACCCACAATCTGCAAATAAATAAGCCAGATCTGTAAAATGGATCTGCATACAAAACTTGAGTTCCGGAACAAGGCCAAAGTTCAGAACTGGATGAACAACTGGAGTTTACAGATGATGAATGCTATGAAGAAGAAAAGGATCTTGCGTACTGTGATATGGTATGCGTAGAGACACTGACTGTAATAACATAACACTGTCTCTTGCAATTTGGTTGGTGACCTTACTCCATGTGAGTTTCGTAAAAATGGGTCATGAAAATATTTCTGGAAAAATTCCTTAACAGAAAATATATATTACATAGGTCAATAATATATTTTCGCTACTTCTTCTTCTTCTTCAGCATTCCGAGCCCTTAAGGTTAATTGCTGCAGATATCACCCGCCTCCATTCATCTATCTGGTTAGCCTTCTCTTTCCAGTTGGAAACACCAAGTGTTTGCAGGTCTGTCTGGATATTATCTCTCCATCGTCTTCTTGGTCTCCCTCGTGGTTTACGTCCATTTATCTGCCTGGTGTATACAGTTTTTAAGTTCTCTGTCATCTGACATTCTTTCAATATGCCCCAACCATTTCAGTCTATTAGCTCTCATGATGCCAGTGATCAGTGTTGAATTAAACAGATTATGAATTTCGTTGTTGCTTCTCACTCTCCATTCACCGCTGTTTGCATCTTTGATGGGTCAAAATATTCTTCATAAGACTCTGTTTTTGTTACAGTTTATTTATATAGAAGGTCGTCAGTTCGCTAAAATGACCTGGCTCCTAGGTCGACCCAGCCTTGAGTGGCTACCGGGTGCAGTCCCGGGAAGTGGAGGCGGCCGGCGTGATGCTGACGACATCACCTATCTTGTGCCGATTGGTCTATAAAAAATAGGTCTAGCCCTATATGCCTAAAGGAGTGGAAAAGGGTCCTTTACTTACTTACTTATTTATATAGATTTTTTCTCAAGAAATATATAAAGATATATAAAGGGATAAACAAAAAACATGAACAATGTGAAGTATTAATTTAAATACATTCCCTAGGGTGTTGAAAAAAAAACACAAAATATATCAGGTGACTTCTATCACTGAAGTCTATGGGAAACTTTGACATCAACCCAGTTTTGAAAAAGGGACTGAGGTCAAAAGAAATCCCCCCCCCCCCTCCCCCACCATGCTATTTCAAGGCCTATTAAACACAGTGCAGGCACACATAGGACCAAAAGAATGTAACTATGCTTTTAAAGAACAGGTCACAGGAAACATGGCTATATACTGGCCTTTGCGTGACTGTGTCACACCTGGAAGTTACTAGATTTAACCTTCTGGGGCAACAAGGTGAACCCATTTAGTGGAGGTAACAACGTTTTACCTGGTGAAGGGTTGAGTTGGGTTTAGGTGTTGGTTTGGTTGAGTACTTACTTTTTGGTAGATTCAGTGTAATAATCTGGCTGGTATCTGGACCGAAAGACTGTGGACGGTTAAAAAATCATATCAGTCGATGATAAAGTGTATTAGCTGATGATTTGTTTGTATCATTTGTTGATAAGTTTGTATCTGTTGATGATAATGTTGTATCAAGATTATGAAGGAAAAGAGATATGTCAATTATGGATGGATGCATGTATGCATGCATGGACAGATGGATGGATGAACAGATGGGTGGATGAATGAACAGATGGATGGATGGATAAACAGATGAATGGATAGATTGTCCAAAGTTAACAATGAACATGAATAACTCACCATATAGCCACAAACTCCAAAAGAGATGTACAACAATGTAACAAATACCATTGTCAGGATAAAGTATCTGAGGAATTTAGAGATAAAAAATGTCTATATGATTAGGGATAAGGGAAACTGAAGAAGGTTCAAGAAGATTAGCAGGGGATAAGAGAGACTAGTCCAGATCAAAGAGGCTAGACAAGGATAAAAAAGGCTTGAAAATCTGGCGGAAGCTGAGGATAAGTGAGTCAAGTCAATGATCAGTGAGTCAAGGAAAGGATTGTGGAGGGCAGTCACTATTCAATGAAGAATGGACTGAGTTGAGATGAGTTCCAAGAACCAACATCACAGCACTCGAGACATTCCCATAAAGGCTCCATCCCTATCTTCAGCAGTGAGGGCAGAGTCCCAACTCTGGTGGTACCAGTATCAGTCTGACTGCATATCTGTCTTGTTTTGCCTCTGAGAGTGCAGTGCTAGCCAGATTCTCCCATCCCTTCCCATTGCACCATTCTCTTCAGATGGTGATGATATTATTGTGCCTCACTCCCAAAGGGCCTTGACAACATCTAGCTGGCCATACACTAATTCATTGCTGAGTGGCGCAAAACCTGCCAGTCTGTCTAACTGTTCATTTCACAATACACCTGCATATCAGGCAGATGCACTCCAACTTCAAAGACAACAACCCTAAATAGTAGACTTTAACATCACGTCTGTTGGGGGCAGCGGGTCAACTGTTATTTGTTCTCTCCTCAAAAACTGGGTCCTAGAACCCACATGGGATATTGCACAGAATATGATTAAAGTGGAAACAAGTACCCAAAAAAAAAAAATTTGTGCACCACATTCTTACTTGGAGAACTTGTGTCTGATGTCTTTAGCCAGGGACCCTTCTAGGGATAAAATCAAACCAGCTCCCTGAAAGTTAACATGCAAAATATGAACTGCCGAGAGATAACAACCCACTACCATGTTTAATGTGAACCTTCTAAATATACAATTTAACCAGCTACTCAGTTTAAAATGCAAACCTCCTATGGTAAATATCAAACCAGTAAACAAGCAAAATGTGAGCCTCCTATAGATACAATTAAATTAGTTCACTAGTTAAATGTAAACCTCATTGAAATAAAAGCTAACCAGGCAAAACTTCCTAGAAGAGTTGACGTAACGACTAACACATTAAATGTAAAACTCTTACACATAATCTAACAGCCGATATGTCAAATATGAATTTCTTAAAGATAAAATCTAGCCAGGCAACATATTTAATGTTAATTTTTTTAGTGATAATTTCCAGTCAGCAGCTAACATGTAAAATGTGAACTTCTTAGAGTGGGTTAATCCGTCGAGGTTCCAGCTTCACTGCACAAGGGTTGTTCCATAACTGCTCCGTTCCTGTGCCAGCGGAAATCACACAAAATTTCCTTCACTGTCAAATTTAAAAAAAAAAATAAATAGCGAGAAACATATCAGTCCTAGCAAAATATTTTATCTTGCATATGCAACATAAACGCATAAGGCAGTTGTCAGATGTACCAACACTAACACTCCCCACCAGAACTACAGCTTACTGTTGATGTAAGCAGTCAGTCATGAAAGCTGGCACTGCACCCATAATACTGTCCAAATACATGCCATTCTGAATGTAATCGGCCACCTGTCATTTTTAATGCAGCTTAAAGTACAAAGCCATCACAGGCACAACGAAGAAAAAACATTTCACATGTAATCCACAGTTCACACTGTTGCACCAAGCTCTCAATTCAGTTGCTGGGTGATGGAACATTTCAACTCCAAGTCCAGAAATGGGGAATTTGCATCAGCAAATACTGGCTAGAAGCAAATAACTGTTCAGAGCTTCAGCAGCCAGATGGCTATCTGCCATAACGGACCAGAAGTCATGTCTTATAGATAAAATGTAGTAATAAAAAACAAATTTAAACAAGCATAAATATCTTAGCTGGTTTCAAGTGATTATCAAAAAACTTCATCACTTACCTCAAAACAATAGACTGCTATGACAAAGAAGAATGGAAGGTTCTCAAATGAGATTTCTCTAGGATGTATCCTGCAATGATAAAACATAAACAATAATCCACACTGTTGGTAGGTTAAAAAGGACCCCTTTTCTCATGCTCTTAATGTTGCAGGTTTAGTTTCTAACTCAATCATCATCTGACTGAAGAATGCAGGTGTTTTGGAGATCCCTGGGGGTTTTCTTTATCGAATCAAACATGGTGTGGTGGCTTCGAAGGTCATGGGTTTGAATCAAAGTGGAACTGGATTTTTTTTTCCTTCCAAAAATGACCTTGACTCCCAGGTTCACCCAGCCTAGACTAGGTACCAGATAAAGTCCTGGGAAGTAAAGGTGGCTGTTGTGGTGGCGATCATGTCACCCACCAAGTGTCGACTGGTCTATAAATTACCTAATATGCCTAAGGGTTCATGAAAAAGGGTCCTCTTTTTTTTTTAAAACTTTGTTGGGAGTTGTTGCTGAAACTATGAAGTTCCCATTTTGTGAAACACTTCTCTGAAGACAAGTTTGTTCCTCTGCAGGGAGAGTGAGTCAACGGGATAGAATACTCTTCTTATTAAAGTCCAAGCCATCTGTTGGATGGTAGGTCTATCCCCAACCTGCTGCTTTGTGTATTTTCAATTATTTCTGACACATATGATCTTCCATGCCATGATGTCAAACTGTCCAGCTTCCCTCTTGGTCTCCCCCTGCCTCTCTTCTCCTCCAACTTTCCTACGGTCACGATGTACTCCCAATGTTTTCCTTCTCATGGTGAGACCAAAGAATGTAGATTGTCCCCTTCAGATGGGTATAACCAGCTCTCTTCATGAGTAAGTTTCTTCAAAACATCTTCCTTTCTCTAGGTCTTGGTTATCTTAGATTCCGCTTCATAGCAAATGGGTCAACCCATGTCGCTCCGCTCCAGTGACAATGAAATACACGTAGAATGTTCATTACTGTCTTACTTACTCTTCATCTGTCCAGGGTGTTCTCATCATCCATCTATAAAACCACATCTGCTTCTGTGAATAATTGTTCTACTGCAGCTGACCACATGATGTAGCACGTGTTCATTTCTTTAAGATCATATTTTATGACATTTTTTCTTATCAATGTTGATTCAGTTTTGAAATATTTTTTGACTGTTACATGCAGTTTTTAGTTTAAAGGCAAGAAGGTAAGTGTCACTGCACAAGGTTTTATCCCATTTTATAGTGCTAATCCTGATATATCAAAATTTCTTATTCACGTTCATTTGTGTCTTCTTCTTCCTCTTCTTTTTTTCTTCTTTCTCCTCTTCTTCTTCTTCGTCTTCTTCTTCTCCTCCTTCTTTTTCTTCTTCTTCTTCTTCTTCTTATCTTAAAATAAACTACAATATTGTGTTTTTTTAGTTAACACAATAGCATATGAAGTTTCATTTCAACTCTACTTTTTCTAGCTCAAGTCATCTGCCTCAACATAGTGTATCTGAAGCACTCAAGTCTAATGCTGCTTGGAGCACACACAAAACACAAGTGTACATGGCTGACATTCTAATTTTAAATTGTGTATACATGTGGCTGTGTAACTCATTCTGCCCTGTTCTGAGGAGACATGAGATAATGACTTGTTCTTGTCTGTCCACAATATGATAGTGATCTTGTACTCACCTTACAGAATGAAAATGTTGAAAGTCAAACCAGAGGACAACACTGAGAGCACAAACAATTGAAAATTGAGCAAGTATGCTGAAAAAAAAATTTAAAAAAAATTGTTGTTTATTGCTGATATATTTTATTAAGTGGCAGGTGTGGTAGCACAGTGGAAAGCATGCTTGCCTAATGACCAGGTGTCTGTAGGTTCGAGTCCTCATTTGAGGAGGTTTTTAAACTGTCCATCACCATCATGTAGCAGGCCCTTTGCAGAACATCGCTCTCATCAAAGTCTGCCTGAGAGAAACTCTGCCTTTCTCCAGCTCTCCTGTTTTGTGCACTCTCCACAGGTGTCACAAATATGCTGTGCCCATCTTCACGCTGGCTGGCCTCTACCCCTCCTTCCTGGCACCAAGCCTTATGCTTTAAATTGTCCATCAAGTCTAAATGGGTATCAAGAAATGTCCTGGGTCGTAAAGATGGTTAGCATGATACTGACTCATCACCAATTATTTCAGCTTGCCTATAAAATAATTTTTTATTTTATTTTCACCCTCTGAGACTGAAGCTTGAAAGATTCATACCCAGTGACTCAAATCAGATGAATCTATTCAGATGTGAATCCAACTGCAGCAATTCGCAGATTTTTCTTTCAACCATAACTGCTGCTGCTTTTTTTTTTTTCTTCTTCTTATCGTTCACCGGCTGTAAACTCGGGTGGAAAAATCTGGTTTTTAGTCCAGACTTCCATCTTGTTCCAGAACTTGAGTTTGAGTCCATATCCGTTTTACAAATCTGACTCATTTATGCCTAATTAGTCACCTTTTACCATTTGTGTGGCGAAGAGGAGGAGAGGGGGGGGGGGGCATATTCATTTACCCCAAATAAAAAGGAGCCCTGGAACCCATACATGGATAAATCAATCATTTAAAATCAGGAATCTATAACTGTGTTGGTAATAGCTGTTCAGATATTACATAACTGTGTTCCTAATATCTATTCAAAGTTCACATGTCGAACATCACTAACTGTGGGAACAACCAGCTATACCAACATAGAAAAACATATCTGTGTGGTCCTATCATCTACACAATAATCACAAATCTGTGTAATTATAAACTAAGTTTAAGCATCACGCAGTACATTCCACCTCTTACGTGGTCCAAACCATGTGAAAGATAAAACAAATTAACCATTACAAATTAGTATCTTAAATGGTGGTCATGTCAGCTAAGATAAGCAATTCAATTATAACACATTAAACATCTATAACTGTGGCCCAATGATCTATTCAAACATCACAAATTTCCGTGGTCCTATCTATTCTGACATCATAAAGCCGAAATCTCAAACTGTGATCTTAAAAAGTGAAAGAAAGTATTCAAGCATTATAAATCAGGATATAAAAAGGTAGGGCTATCTGCTGTACAAACATCACAAATGTTTAAAAACTGACATCACAGCACTCGGGACATTACTGTAAGCGCTCCGTCCCCATCTTCAGCAGCAAGAGCAGAGTTCCATTTCTGATGGCATCTGCAAGAGTCTGATTTTACATCCAGATAAAACATATGTGAAAAATAGCGCTAATTTTCCTTATTTTGTTAAAACTAATACGTTTTACTGTAGATAGAAATGTGCACATTCCAGTGCTTGTATTGATTATTTTTGATGCTATTGTTAACTTTTAATATTACTTGATGTGTGAATGAAATGATGTAAGAATGGAGGGAGACCTCGAAGGGCAGAATGTTAGAAGGGCCTGCGTGCCCAATTCTTAACCCTTTAAAAATAAAGTTTGTTCGTTCGTTCGTTCCATCTCACCTTTCTCTTAAGTGTCGATCACCAGCCATATGATTTAATCACAAATCTTTTACTGTAACCTTATGATTCATTCAAACATCAAAAATCTCTATCTGTGGTCTTACCAGTGAAAGATAAACTACTAAAACATTAAAAACCAGGATCTCAAATGGTAGGCTTACCTGGTTAAAGCCAAACTATTCAAATGCCTCAACAGGGTCAACAAACTCAGCACTGGTAAAACTATCAACAGCCAGTGACCCCTGAAAACATAAATCAAAAGATTTTGCTGTAAACAAATCATATCCTGTTCAATGTTTTGGATTACAATCAGGATATATACACATTTAGCAATACTGCCTAAGTGTTATCGGGTGTATTTTAAACAAATCGTATTCTGTTCAATGATTCAGGATTAAAATTAGGATGTTTGTATACAGAAACCTTGTCTATGTGTTACAGAGTGTATTTTCCATCTCATGGGATTATAATTAGAACATATGGACACTGGAACCCTGATCATGTGTTATCAAGTGTTTCAAACAAAATGTATCCTGTTCAATCTTCTGGGACTACAATTATGATATACTGATAAAGGAAACCTGTCTACCTGTCCCAGCGTGTGTTTTAATCGAATTCATCTGTTCAGCCTTTTGGGATTGTAATTCTTCTTCTTCAGCATTTTGAGCCCTTGAAGTTTATTGATGCAGATATTCCCCACTTTCTTTCAACTCTCTGGTTGGCCTTCTCTTTCCAGTTGGAAACACCAAGTGTTTGTAAGTATCTCTGCATCATCTTCCTGGTCTGCCTCATGGTCTACGAACATTCAGATCCATTGTGTATTTTTTTTTGTTAACCTCTCTGTCATTTGATATTACCTCATTATGCCTCAGCCGTTTCAGTATATTAGCCCTCATGATGCCAGTCATCAATGGTGATCAGATTATGAATGTTGCCGTAGCTTCTCACTCTCCTTTCCTCACAGTTTGCATCTCTGATGGGTTCAAAGATTCGTCATAAGACTCTATATTTAAAAATATGTAATAAGGCTTCAACTCAATTAGCTGTGCTCCAGGATTCAGAATAATATAAAATAACTGGTCTTAACGTTTTATATATTTGGATCTTTCGGGATTATATTTTGGATATATGCATAATGGAACACTGCCCAAGTTTAACTGAGGCCAACAGGCGAAGCGAGATACAGTAACATTACAAGATATGGATATAAAGGACCCTTTTTTCATACCTTCAGGTATATTTGGCACACAGGGCTAGACCTATATTTTAAAGACTGATCGGCACTTGGTGGGTGTGGTGATCAACATTACACTGGCTGCCTTTACTTCCCAGGACTATACCTGGTACCCACTCAAGGCTGGGTTGACCTGGAAGCCAAGGTCATTAAAAAAAAAAGTATGTCTCTGTCAGGACCCAAACCCATGACCTTCAACCAGCAGGCGAGCATCTAGCTGCTACATCATGGTGGCTTCTACCACGAATGTGGCAAAAGTTTATTAAAGTGAGTTGGTTTGAGACTGGTTACCTTATTCTGAAGAAAACTACAGCTGTAAAATCCAAGCAAATATAAACAAATGTATAAATCGCTGGCAGGAGTTTGCCGAGGACTTAAATACAAAAACTGAAAGAAAATGGTCAACAATTATGCAAAAGGAAAGGGATGGAAAAAGAAAGAGAGGAATAACAGAAAGAGAGGGCGAAAAAAGAAAGGATAATCTAAAGAAAGTGAAAGAGGTCTGATAGCAGCATGGAAGGAAGAGAGGGAAGGAAGAGAGGGAAGGAAGGAAGGAAGGAAGGAAGGAAGGAAGGAAGGAAGGAAGGAAGGAAGGAAGGAAGGAAGGAAAAGAGGTAGAACAATGACAGATTTACAAGAGAATTGCTTACATTTCTATGTGAGGTACAATATCTGACATATTTCTGCAGATGAATATCAAGTACGCACAACAGAACCCTGGAATTAAAGAGACAATCACAATACAAAACTATCAGTAACAAACTAATATGTAAAAATAAATAATAATACCAACAACAACAAAAAACTCTATAAAAGTACTATACATCCATAGTGTTGAGGCGGCCTGAAGAGCATGAAGCAGAAGCTTTTATCTCCCCCGACACCCGTAGTCGTAAAACAGGAAGTGAAGAAGAAGAACGACGACAAAAATTTACTCCTTAAATTCTTCCCATGTGTCATAGTCTTCCACAGCAAGTCTCAACAACCAATAGAAGTCTGCTAATGTGTGAACTTTGTTTCAGCCCAAGCGTTTACTCTCATCCAACACTGAATTTGCAGAGTTGTAAGACTATTACCAGTATAAGACAGTGAGGGTTCCAGGAGCCCTGGGGGCGAGGGGGGGTGAAGGGGGGGTGGGGAGAAAAGACTCACTGCCCCTAAAGCATGTTGTAAAAGGTGACAAATTAGGTATTTGCTGAAACTGGGCTGAGAGGCACAAATATCACAGCCTTTCTAAAAACCACAACACAATGTGTCAACTGCCATTTTAAGGGCGGGCAAAGAAGAAGAAGAGGACAATCTACATAGTGTGAGAAGAGGAAGACTGAAATAGGCCATAACAAATGTTGTGAGGTAAAAAAGAGACAGGTGGAGAAGATTGACAATTAACATAATGGTGTGGAAGGACATATGTATCCAAAATCTGTGGCAATGCATGGACAGAAGGCTGTGGGTTGGATACGATGAGAAAGACATACCACATGGACTTTAGGTCTTTAGCCCCAGTTACGCATGCGATCAGGTGGAGGTACCACACACTTGCCAAGTGTCTAGAGGGTTTAATTAGAAATGCCTATAAATGTTCGTCCTTTACCCATACACTGGACCCATTCATGGCCGCCCACTCTTACTGGCACAGCACATATTGATTGTGATTATACCTGTAGTAAAAGGAGGGCCAACCCAAATGAGAGCACCACCATATGCCCCACACTTGTGCCAAGCCAACACATTTCCCTAAGCAACCAGCAACGTCCACGAGCACAGCAACACAATACACGACGCGAAGCATGATCCTTCATAATGCATCGGTCTCTTTATTATGGATGAAACACAGTACGACAAAAATGAGTGATGATCAATGACACACGGTCGAGTCTTCTACTGCCTTTCCATATACACATATCGGCAGTCACTCCAGACATGGAATAAACACCCCAGCAAACTACGTCCCAGGTGCCTGCTACGGGCAACTGACACCTGACCGCGCATATACACCTTGTGATGTACATTACTACCCCCGATGGCTGTCCCTCCAATAGACCCAACAATCTGAGGGTTTAAGGTAGATGCCCCATAAGGTGAAAAATAAAGCCAAAAAAATATCCATACCATAGTCTGCTACCTAGTCACTGAAGCATCGCTGACACCATATTAGTTAACACACACAAGGTTCCCGGCACTGTCTGTGCCCTTACAGATCCCCTTGCTAACTACATGATCATGGCCGCAACACTGCCGACCCCACAAACTCATAGCCGTAGAATCGTCCATTCTGAAAATTCATGATCCACCAAACCCATTAGACAATTCACATGAGCTCCAAAAGAATGAAAACACCTGGTTAAAACACACCGGACCGGACTGGAACAACTCATGCATTAACACGTACACACGCTAAGACTTCCCGAGAGGCACTGACTGATTCTACCACGGGACCTTTTCCATATGGAGTCCATTCCACGTGTATCCCACCTTCTCGCTAACACTCGGGATTCCCTTGTGCTGTCGACCCCAGGAATGCCATAATATACATGATGTCCCAAAGTTCGTCATAAACTTCGAGGGACTTATGTTAACCAGTGGCTCAAGATCCCCTGGCTTTAAGTGACTCCCCAATGTTTTAATTCTCAGCCCTGGCTTCATTAACTATACACTTGAATAGCAATGTGTGTTTATCAAAAATGCCAGAGACCTGTATGTTTTTTTTTTTTTATTCCTTTAGTAAAAAAATCATTTTAAATGGGTCAGACACACAAAAACAAAACAATTCCACTTATGGATCAAACCGGTATTTAGTTGCATACAAAATAACAGGAGTAACTAGTAAACACGAATGCGGCAGAGAACTAACAGTGTCACATAAAAAAGGAACACCTAGCCTCGACTTGACCTGAGTCCACAACATATGCCTTTGGTCTACTGGACCACTCTTGTGGTCACCAGTACCCTTAATGAACGCTTTGGTTGTGTCCCCACACTTTGCATCACCAGTAACCTGTACATAATAACTGACTAGAGACTCTGCCCCAGGCACACCAAGTCTCACGACACAATGTCGAATCAGAATACTGACAAGGAACTCACTGCCCGACTTCTGTTGATCATAGTGGCAAATAACGGGCTCTCAATGCCGTGTCTCCCCAAAATACATGCAACGGGAGCATTTCAACTCATACACCAAATTCTTATGAACAAGCTAAATTTTCAATGGACTAAAATGATACACATAATTACTGCTAAAAAATAGACAACCGGACATGCATCCATCTGATCTGAATGACTGAGAGACATTAACTGGACAAGCCCTGTTTCCCTTCTGCTCAGCATCCGGCCCCCACATGGTTCTCGCTATGCGCGTGCAAACCGCTGTTAGTCATGAAACTCCCGAAAAACCTCTTTCACAACTTCGTGCCTAGCCTGGACTTTTTGCACTCGTCTCTCACCTCAAGCGACATGAACCCTTTGCCCACAGCTCTGTTACCTTCATCATCCAGTGCCTTGCCTTTACGACTAGCGTAGGCAAAATACGCCTCTGCTTCTGGTACTTTTGACCAGCAGGTGAATTCAGCACGCAACATGCTTACTTTAGTTACACTCACTGGCAAGACAGTCATCACACAATGTATAAGCTTGCCAGATAAGTTCCTTTTTTTTTTCCTTCTTTTTCAGCATTCCTAGCTCTTGAGGTTCACTGCTCGTTCCAGTTGTTAACTCTAAGTGTCTGTATGTCTTTTCGTGTTTATCTATATTAGCTACAATGATCTCTTCTTGGTCTGCCTCGTATCACCACTTATTCGACACTTTTGTGCAAGCAGTTTTTGTTTTCTCTTATCTGCTAATCTCCCAAAATTTACCAACCACTGTAGTCTATTAGCCTTCATAATGCCAGTAATCAGTGGTGAATTAACCAGATAATGAATTTCATTGTTGGTTGTCAGTCTCCATTTCCCGTCATCTGCATCTTTGATGGGTCCAAAGTTTCATCATAAGACTGTTCTCAAAAGTTTGTAATAACTGTTTTTAAATCTTCACACAAAAACTGCATCTTACCAATCTGTGAGAGCACGATAGAAAAATCCACCAAGAGTCTGCCTGCCGAGCCAACAGCTTCATAGCCTGCAGATTTGTAAAATGTAAACAGAAAGTGCCATTATTATATGAAGAATCTGCCGCATAAATATGTGCTCAGCCCTCTAACAGTAAAAGTTGAAAATTATGTGTGTACTTATGTACATAACAGATATGCAAAGTCAGATACATTCCTTTATGTAGAATATAAAAACAAAAATGTATCTTTAAACATATATTATCCTAAACATCATGATATCTAAAGAATAAAATCTGAGCTTTTAAACTAAAATGCTAAAGAAAGGTTCTTAGAATACCATGGACCAAGAAGAAGAAAAACATTGATGTCCTACATGACCTGAACATCAAGGAGAACTGGCTTATAAGCAGCATCCTTTCCAAAAAGCTGAGGTATTTTGGATATGTTAAGTGCCATGGTGGTATAAAGAGAACAGTGATGGAGGGTTTAATTTCTGGAAAAAGAGGCAGAGGTCATTAGTGCAGCACAGTGTAGATGCACTGGCTGTGACAGCACACAGGGCTGGACAACTGACTAGAGAAAGGAAAACTTTAGGTGTACCCTAAAGAGAGGGACGTTCTGTAAAGGACATGCTGACCAATGATGAGAAAGAAGGAAGAAAATGGATCATACTGTGACCACTGGAAATATCTGCGAAAAGAGAGACCAGCTTGCTGTAAAAGGTGACTAGTTAGGAATTTGCTAAAATCAAATGTGTTGGGCTGAAAGGTACAGATATTGCAGTTAGCTGTAAACATCAGGACAGAAGAATGTTGAGTTGACTCAAGAAGTTAAGAATAAACACCACAGCACTCAGGATATTCCCATAAGCGCTCGGTCTTCAGCTTCAGCAGCCACGGCAGAGTAACACAGAAGAAGAAGAAACAGACTAGCTACATATACTACATAAGACTTATACTACATATGTGACACAGACATACAGTCTTGGGTAAGAGGAAATGAACGAGCGGATGGGCTTGCTGGCAGGGCCACGGCAGGTAAAGGAAAAGCAATGGCCTGGACCAATATTCTCAATGCTCTTAGGGGAGCAGGATGAGAAGATGATTAAAGAGATGACACTGAACCGGCAACATTCAAAAGACTTTAATAACTTCAGGTCAAAAGAGGTGTTGCCAAACATGAACACTACACAGGTAGCTAAAGAAGAATAGTAAACCAACAAAGAACTGGTGTTATCAGGCACCACATGCTGTGGAATATTCTGAAGATGGGATCAGAGCGCTTATGGACACGTCCAATGTACAATGAGGATAATTTGTAGATTAACTAACTAACTAACAGACATACAGCACACTATACGACAAGTGCCATGGTGGCCTCAATGAGACATAAAACATATATACAAGAAGGCATATACATCACAGGCAAAACACGGATGAATAAATATCACAGACCTCATATATACCTCACATATCAAAGTTAGTAATTTACAGTTCAAATTTAAACATCACATATCGTAAATTAAAATCCAGACTTATATCACATTAGACAAGCAAACAGCAGATGAGTAAATGATCTCATACATGCCTCACATATCAAACAACAAAGCATAAGCTACAATTCAGTTTGCAACAGTTAACAAACAGAATACACTAAAGAAGTCAGTATTCACTGACTTACCTACATCTCCATATGATACATCTTGATTCCCAGACTGAGAATGACAAGAAGAAAGATTACTTACATTTACTGAAATTACCACATAACAGGATATTTGTAATTACAACATATGTATAATATGAAATGCTTTACATATGTAGTAGGTACAAATACACGTACACGTACTGCACGCACGCAAGCACACACACAAAATTACTTTCACATTATGAAACACATTATGTATAATTTCAAACCAATCCTCACTCAAATGTTGTTGAGGTAAATATCACACAGGTTGCCTTTATTTTCTAGAAAATTCTTGGTTGATAAATAAATGGAACACGGTTCATGAGTAAATCTAGTTTCATTGTTTGCAGCTGCTTGCTTGACTGGTTGCTGAATCTTGAGTTTGATGCTTTCATTTTTTAACCTGTTGGGATTGAGGGGAAGGGGGGCGGGGGTGGTTGAACCTGGGGATTTAGGGCTGCATGGTTAGTGCTGTCACCACGAACTGTGCAGGTTTAGAATGTTTATTTCTGCTCCTGCAGAAACCACTTCCATCCCTTTACAGAGGATTAAGGCCTGGGGCTGCCAAAAGGACACCCCAGAATTAAGGCCACTCGACTTCTCTATGCTTTGATGATAAAATTATCGGAGCATTGAAAACTGCTAGCATGTATCAAAGTAAGGACTGTGTAGAGACTGTCCCTACACTGTACCAAGCCATCAATTCCACGGGAAGTGTGTTGTAGAGCTTTCTTCTCCTCTCCAAGATGAAACACCAGCATAGTATCACCATTACCACGTGCTGTACTGGTCAGGTAGGCTGTTATGTTTTACCCTCTCACTTGATCACCAAAATCACCGGCAAGGTCAGTGTTCTGTCTCGCCCCCCATCCACATTCCCTAGCCATCCACATATTTATATCTTTTCTTCCCCTTGCCGCCTTTCCATCTGCTTGCCAGTTGTTACCAAGTTCTCGACTCCATTCCTTGTCATTTCATGTCCAAATAACATGCCTGTTTACCTCTAACTGCTCCAATCCATTTACGACCTAAAGGAGGACTGCCTCATTTGTTTTTATTTCACTCCACAATATTCTTTGCACTATTCACTAAAATTAAAAAAAAAAAATTTAAAAACATTTCTTTTTAAAAACAACCACTTCCAAACTGCCAGCAAATGTTTTATTTAGTTTTTTTTTCCAGCTTTTATGATAACTGTCCATGTTTCACAAGAATGGTATACAAGACCAGAATTGACATTTTACTTCCGTGGAGAACCATGTTTTTCTTCTTACATTCGCTTGAATTAAATCTATATTAGTAATTTTGTCTCTTGTATAAATTTCACTGTCATTTTTAGTTCGTTCAAATGTCCATAGATTTTATGTTCCACTGTTGTTCTTTCTAGCCAAAAGGTTTGCTTTGATATGTCAAATTTGGTACAGTCCTAGGTACATGTTCGGCTGTCTGGGGCACTTTTCTACAGGTGCACATGACTGATATGTATATCTTGAATATATTGTGTTGGAGAACCATTTTAGGATGCAACCAGATCTTGCTTCAGCACAAGCAATATGGACAGGCTAATATTAGGTCTTCTTCTTCTTTCTCTTCTGCATTCAGTCTCAAAAGAGTGGTTGGCACACAGTGCAGTAATTTCCAGCTAGGCTGCAACATCTGCGCCTCTGGGTCCAACACATCCTGTTTCAGCAAACCCTTAGTCACTTTTTACCGCATGCTTATCAACTCTTTGGGATACCAAGGAATGCATTATCATTGACATACAACTAATTTAACTATCCCCTGGTACCTATGGGTTAAGAAGTGTGGCTCTACTGATCAATGGTTGGTTTGTCTCCTCTAGGCTGCTACCTGAAGGTTTATCACCCTGAGACTTTAAAAAATCTAAATCCGGATGGCAGACCAACAAGGAGATCCTAGATGTTTCTTGTCTGAGCTCAACCTCAACAGAAGTTATTCTCCTTCTTCATCTTTGCTCACCGACTGTAAGCTCCGGTGAAAAGTCCTGGTTGTTCGTCCATTTGGACTTTGGCTTTGTGCCAAGGCCCCAGTTTTTCGTGTACATCCGTTTAACTGACTTATTTGTGAGCAGTTGGTCATTCCTTGCCACTCGGGCAGATGTACTCTGACTTGGAAGAAAGTCCCCAGTTAGTCGACTCCTACGCCAGGCTTGTTGAGGGGCCAGTGAGTCAATTCTTGTTTTCCCATCACTGGGGCCTTGAACCCACACATCTGTCATGGTTACACTAGCCTGGTGCAACCTGCAGTCCTGTGAGCACAAAAACGCAGTGGCTCTATCCTTGTTCTCCCTAAAATACAGCCCTAGAACCCACACAGGAAAAAATTAAGTCTGATTTGGCCATGTTTTCCTCCACAGTTTTCAATGTCAACAGCCTAACTCAACTTGCAAAGAGTACTTCTACCCTAAAAATGTGACCACATCTACAGATACTTGCCATGAATGTGTATAATGTACGTTTAGGTTCTTTCACCCCGGTGATGAGAAGCTCTTCGCTTCGTAGAAGATCCACTCTTTCCGAAGGGTTGTTTGCTATATTTGAGAATAACCCTTCAGACTTTGAAGACATGATGTCCCCCATCTCCCAGTTATGAATGATGCGATATTTACACTCAACTAGAAGCAGCATTGACTTGACGCTAAAGAGATCAAAGAGATTGACAAAAATGAGGTTATTTTTACATGCACAGGGGCACCATGGTGTAGCAGCTAGATGCTCGCCTGCAGATCGGAAGGTCGTGGGTTTGAGTCCTTACGGAGCCAGATGTTTTTTTTTCAAATGACTTTGGCTCCCAGGTCGACCTAGCCTCAAATGGATATCAGGTACAGTCCTGGGAAGTAAAGGTGGACGGCATGATGTTAACCACATCATCTGCCAAGTGCCGACTGGCCCAGAAAATATAGGTCTAGCCCTATATGCAGAATACATTTGAAGGCATGGAAAAGGGTCCTTTATTTTACATGCCCAGCATGCATTACATTAGAACATGTTGTGGTGATGCATCAGGACCAGCGCTCAAACTGGTCAAAACCTATCTACAGCTTTCCGTGGTCACACTAGAAACATCTTCCATCCTCATAGCTTCAACACTGTAGATAGGATTTACATTTCCAAGTCACTGTCTTATTTGAAAACTAGTTAAGTCAGTCCCAGCAAATCTTGAAGCTTGCACACACAAAGTACAAAATTCATTAGGTGTCAGACATGCCCACAGCTGTCTGTGAGGCGAGAAAACAAATCTGCACACAAATACCCCAGATTTGAAACACAGATGTGCATGCAACACTCAAGTGTCGGAACTTGATCAAATTCCAGTAAAGGATGAACATATATGATGTTCCACCAGAGTTCACGGCTGGCAAACTCACAAGAGGAAGAAGAAGAAGAAGGAAGAGGAGGCAGGGGGAGAAGAAGATTTTTCAAGAAAAGGTAGGCACTTTAATTTCCTTCAATATTATATTTCCTTGTTTATCAATTCATAGGCAACAACAGGTAGCATCCACACTAACAGGTCATATCAAGAATTGCTAGACAATTGACATTTCAACTGGACTTAATTTGTTTTCAGAACACATAAAAAAAGGGAATGGTAATTACTCATATTATCTGGTGCTTTCGTTTGTTTTAACCATGTATGCCCTTTTCAGAGCTTTTAGTATTCTTTGTCAACTGATGTAAGTAGGTTAGTTAAGGCAGCATACAGACATTTCTTCACACCTCCGCCATCCAAGTATTCATTTTTTCATCTTCCCACTTTTTTTCTTTCCATCAATCTTGCCAGTTGTAACCAACTTCTCAGGTCCAATCCTTCTCATAATGTCCCCCCAAAAACCTTCTCATAATGTCCTCCCAAAAAACCTTCTCATAATGTCCCCCCAAAAACCTTCTCATAATGTCCCCCCAAAAAATCACAGACTGTCTTCTCCAATTTTGTTAGTAGTTTTTGGTTTTCTTCTTTCTGAAAGGACTGTATTGTTTATTTTTCTGTCATTCCATTAATTATCTGCATTCTTCACAAATACTGCATTTCCATGGAATTTAAAAAGTAGTCGTTCTCCATCAATATGACTATGTGAAACATGTAGACATAATGATACTGCTAGAAACATTGAACACTGATGGAGTAATAAAAAACAAGTACTGGCAGCAAACAGCAGCTAAAAGATTTAACAGTCATTTGGGAACATTTCAGAGCAAATAGAGGGGCGCAGACAGCTAAATGGTTTTCCTTATACAGGGAATAGATACTGAGATAAATCCTGGATATGCCAGAAATTTTAGTTGGTGGTTATAATATAAACAACATAGTTTACGCTGATGATACCGTTTTGATAGCAACAAGTCAAAAAGAACTACAGGGACCGAGAGAAACGATGGTGGTAAAAAAAGTGATAGAATGGTCCTCAGCTTGAATAATGGCAAGACAGAGGTGATGGTAAAACTAGATGAAAAGAATTGTCTCTAAATGTATAATAAAAGACAAGGGTATTTTTTCAGGACAAGTACGGAAGTTTAAGTATCAAGATAAATAGATAACATTCAATGGAAGACATATCACAGTGATAAAGAACTAAACTATATTCTTTCAGTCTACAGCAAAAATACAATGGCCACCGTCTGGCAGAAGCAAAAACTTGGCCATGACTCAAAACAGTGACTGTGCCTATAGTCCATTTTGACCCGAAGTGCTGAATGTCTACCAGATCGCAGAGTCCCTCTCCACTGCCCCGTTATCTTCAGATCATGGATATCTATGTGTGCCTCTGCACTGTTCACTCACTCATAAAGAGCCATATCTACTTTAATGAAAACATAATAAGACAGGTAATCTGTTGAAACATTACCTTAAAATAGCAACAAGCATCATAACACAGATGCCTTCAAGTATCCCAGCCTGCAACAGAAACAAACAATTGAATTATGTATCCTGATACCAACTTCATAATACAGAGATGCCTGTATATGTGGCCCATATAAACCAGTATAAATACAGTATGAATATGTGTGTATGGTATGTAGGCATGGATGACCTGTACCACATATAAGCAAATATGCATATAGGCCGCTTTTCATTACTGACCCTTTGCCCCAACAGTGAGCTACAATTCCAGTATGGGACTGTTTGTGTGGGCACATCTGACACCTTATGAATTTTGTACTTTGTGTGTGCAAGCTTCAAGATTTGCTGGGACTGACTTAACTAGTTTTCAAATAGGACAGTAAGGGACAGTAAGGGGCATTTTGTGTGATTTTCACTGACACACAAGCAGAGCAGTTATGGGGCGACCCGTCTGCAGTAAAGCTGGAGCCCAGACCAATGACTAATGCAGTGATTCCCAAACTGTGTGCCACGGCGCCCCGGGGAGCCACAACCTTTTCACAGGGGCGCCACAAAATTTTTGAAGATACACGAGTTGTTGTTGTTGTTGTTTTTTTTTTTTTTTTTATCTTTTTCATATTTTTACTTAGGTTAGAGCGCCATATTTTTACTTAGGTTAGAGCGCCATATTTTTACTTAGGTTAGAGCGCCGTGTAAACATTTTTTATTGAAAAAAGGCGTCGCGACTAAGAAATGTTTGGGAAACACTGGACTTATGCATGTATGCACTTCTGAATGTGTGCCATTATTAATTAAGCTGGTTTTTGTAATTTTATGCAAGTGTTTGATGTTATTCAGTGGTCACATCATTATGTTTCTTGCGGTTTGCATCTAGGCTGCAGATTTGCAGCTTACAACCTGACACACTGATACACAACAGAGTCAATGCTGAATGTTGAATGTCAAATTAAGAATTAACCTCACAGCACTCGGGACACTCCCATAAGTGCTCAGTCCCCCATCTTCAGCAGCAAGCAAAGAGTTCGAATTCTGATGGTACCAGTAACCGTATGATTGTATATCCGTCTCTTCCTTCCCCTAAGTGTTGAGTGTCGGCCAGATCCCCTGGTAACTCCTTGCAGTGCCATTCTCCTTAGACCATAATGATCTATCTGCGCCTCCCCACTGTTCACTCGCTCCCAAGGGGCCCTCACAATATCTAACTTGTCATACATTAATTCACTATCAAGTGGTGCAGAGCTAGTCTGTCTGTTTTCTTATTTCGCAACGCACTGGCAAGATTTGGAGAAAATATCCAAAGAATGCTAACTACCCTCTGAATGCTAACTACCCTCTGAAGTGATGCTTGCCACTCTGCAGGGAGCATGCCTGTTTTCATCTGTCTCAACTTGCTCTGAGTCAGTTACAATGTTGGCATGTGTGTACAGCTGATTCTCAAGCCAGCGGAAGGCAGGAGAGTCAGCAAGCCATTATTAAGTCACCTTTTATGACATAAGTGGTAGAGCTTCTATTCTGTTTCTTCTAAATCCAGAATGGAAAAAAAAATGTACAAGAAAAAGAATCAACCTTACCTCTTTAAATGCATACGGAAGACCAAGAACACCAGCTCCGATGAAGGCAATGAAAATGTTGGCATAGATTTTAAACAGATTGGATGTACCAGTCTCGCCTGGCTGGCTGAGAATTGCCATAATAATTAGACCTGCTTTTAAAAGTGCAGCAGTTGTTAATGTGTAATCTCTGGAACATCGGTAATGAAGAAATCAAGAACTGACATTAGTGCACTCCGGGCATTCTCGTACATGTTATGTCCCAGTCCTCAGTAGTCCATGAAGACTTCCTAAGGATATGTCAATCTGCAGCCTGATTAAAAGCCCACATGTCCTTTTCCCTGCATGTTAAAAACTGTCTATACTCTGTTCATTCCTCGCTGAATCAATCTCTCCAGGTATGAACATCAGTATCATATGGTAGCATCTGTAAAATAAAATGACTTATGTAAAAAGAATATTTTTAAATGAATTTATTTTTAAAGGTTTGCAACTGTGGTAGTCCACATGGTTTAGAGCAGTGTTCTTCAACTCGTAGGCCACAGGGCTCTGTTTTTTTAGCTCCAAGGTAAAAAAAAGTCTATTTCCAAACGCCTTACATTTTCAGTACTGTTTAATCTTTACATTGCTATGGCCATCCTCCTTTTTGATGGCTTCATTGCTGTTTATTACGGAGCATAGATACATAAAGTTTGTGACATTTTCAAATTCTTCATTATTTATTTTTATCTTTTCGGATGACTGTATATTCACAAGTTGGTAAACTTACATTTCCATCTTCGAGAGTAAAGCTTTAGAGAATGGCCATTAACATGGTTGTCAGACAATGGAACAAGAGTTGCACTATTTTTTGCTACCCTATTTGTGAAAACATCTTCAAATTATTGAGAAGCATAACTCAACCAAAAACACCACATCTTTGCTTATTACTGCAGTACCAGTCTTTAATAAAGTGTTTTACAGTCTTCACAGAGTTGCCGTACTTACCTGCACAGGACTACAGCTTACACCAAGCTGCTGTCGTTACGGGTGGCCCCTTTGCTGTTTAAATTGGGTATCTAAGTTTTTCCTTGGTGGCTTGCCATCCAGATACAGACTTTGTAATCTCAGGGTAGTTCTACCTTCAGATAGCACCCTGGAAAATAAAAACGAAAAGGGGTGCGGGTAAGAACAACGAAGCACCGTTCCGTTAGTGGCTCTAGTCTAGTAGTACTACTATTGTATTGTAGTTAACCCTCTTAGCACGGACGGTCCGATTATCGGCCGGAGGATGTCTGGCCAAAAACACGGAATGGCCGATCATCGGCCCGATCGTGTTTCGCCTCGAACTGCTAAGAAATCTTCTATTTTGAAACACTGAAAGTGATTCATTCATATTCACTGCTGTATTAGCTTTACACATGGCGACTTTCTAGTGTTTGGTATCGAAGTGAAAATTGTTGTTGAATTTTTTAGATAGTGACCTGAACTGCTAAAAGTATGTCTGACTCGTATGTTTCTGCCCCTAAACTTGATGTTGATAAAACATTTTAATCAAGTGAAGACACTAATTCTGTTGATACTGATGCAGGATCTAGTGTTAGTAGTAATAGTGTGGAATCAGATGGGGACGCTGTTATGTTCAGACGACAGCCCAACCATGGCTCAGGGTATATCCTCCCGAAGGTGTTGAGACTCCGGCACATCCATTTCTAGTGCTGACTGATGGTCAAAAACACATGTCACCTAAAGATATTATTGCTGTTTCATTTATATATATATATACCTGTTTTTGACTATTGAATTGCTTACAACATTTGTAAAAAGGCCAAAGATCAATAAAAAGATTTCAAATAAAATATATTTTTGTATTTAGTTATATGTTTCATACATTGAAGTTGAAAATTCACATTCTAATTTTATATTTTAGATATGCAAATGAGATAATTTGCATATACATCAATTAATTTTAACCATATTGTGAAAATCATGAACTTCAATCTATATCCTTCAAATAGATATATTATTTCATGGGGGTCAGAATAACAGAAATGTGTCAAAAAAAATTAAATAAAGTAATAACCAAATTTACTGAAAAAATGCTCCGTGTTTTTGGCTAGACATCTGAAAAACTTCCCGTGCTAAAAGGGTTAACAAATGACGTTCAGTCTGATCAGTTTCGTTACCTTACCAGTGATGATGATTTGATTACTACAAATTAGAACATCGTATCCAATGAACCTAGCTGCAGCAGTACTGTTGATAACAATATCATGTTCGACTCTTCTGCGTTTTACGGAACTTATTTTTCGATAACGGATATTTATGTTTCTGATACTTTAGTATGAAGACCTTTAGCAGACGGTCGTAAACTACATCACGGAGTTTTTGTTTCGTCGTGGCTTTCTGGTATAGTTTTTGTACTTCAACAAGACACAAGAGCTCTTAAAAATCATTCAAACCAGCAAGCAGTGTTGCCACTTTGGATGTTTTACATCCAGATATAGATGTTTTTTCTTGTATTTAGATGAAGTTTTTGACGTTTAGATGGTAGATGTTTTTCATTCAGTGTTAAATATTTTATAGATTTTTTTTCTTTCAGTGTCAGTTTAATAATTACTATATGAAATCTTACACATTTTTGTTTTGGTCTGATCACGTACATTGTGACATTTGCGATGACTTAAACTCTGAACTCTCACTTGGGTCAACGCTCAAATATCTGGCAGCCACGATACTGATTAAAAGCGCGTAAATCATACAAACTTTGTTTCAACCGTATCCTCACTGCGTTGACTTTGTGTTACTTTTTCATGTGATTTTTTAAAAATAATTGCTTACCTTCATATGTGGCTTTCACTTTGAAAACACCTTTCAACATTCCAAAAGTAAAGTATAAGCAAAAATTTCGGAATGAGTGGTTGCATGGTGACAAAATTAAAGAATGGGTGATGGCAGTTCCTGTGGATATGACCAAAGCTCGTTGTAAGTACTGCGTGTGAAATTAAAGCGAAAATACAAGACTTAATGAATCATGCAAAGACTAAAAAGCATAAAACTGCAGTTCCATTCAAAGATATTTCACCACTGACATTTGTTTTCAGAACTACACTGATAAATGAATCATCAAAAGTTGAATGATCGGTCGCAATGTTTTTAAGTTTTCACTGTGCAATTTCAAACTGTGACCATTTGATTGATTTAAAAAAAAAACTATTTCTGACAGTAAAGTTATAGATGATGTGAAAATGCATCGCAGCAAGTGTACACATATTATAAAAAATACTTTATTTTCTCACTTCGAAAAAGATTTGATCAGTGATATTTCTACAAATAAATATAGTTTATTTTCAGACGAATCAAGTGATATTTCGGTACTGAAGGTGCTAGGTGTGTGTATTATGTATTACAGCAACAATACAAAGTAGTTTCTACATATCTTGGACTAGTTCAATTGGAAAAGTTTGATGCAGAAAGTATTGTTCAGGAACTGAAGAAGCTTTTAATCAGCAAACAGTTAGACTTGAAGAATGTGACTGCAATTGGTACCGATGTTACTGCGGTGATGGTTGGTATAAACAATGGCGTTTATGCCAAGTTGAAGGAAGCCATCCCATCGTTAATACTTATAAAATGTATGTGTCATTCATTGCAGCTAGCATTATCACATGCTTCATCTGAATGTTTACCAAGAAATTTAGAGAGTCTTATTGCTGAAACACATAGCTGGTTTTCCAAATCATTTGTCAGACCACAGCAATACAATACATTATTTACAGCCTTGAATTATGGTCCCACACCACTAAAAATTCTGTCAGATTGAAAAACTAGATGGTTATCAATTCAACCAGCTGTTGAAAGAATTGTAAACCAATGGTTGGAGTTGAAGACACACTTTGAAATAACAAGACAAAGTAAACAGTACTACACAGCTGAAATACTATATGGAATGTACAGTGGTGAAAACATTTGGCCTTTCTTCTCTTTTTACAACATATTCTAATAGAAGTGCAAAAGGTAAATAAACTGTTCGTATGAATCTAAACATGTTGATAAAGTTAAATTACTTGACGATCTCACTTTGCTATTTCACTCAGTTGGTAAAAGATTGGTGTTGCCAGCTTCTAAAGCTGATTTACTCACTTGCACTATAGAGAGCTATTTGGCCCCTAAGCCGTACTTTGGATATCAAATCGAATCAAAAATCGATGATTTAAAAACAAAAGGACTGTTAAAGGAGAATGAAGAGAACAACTTAAGAAAACGTTGTCAAGATTTCCTTATCTCTTTATTCAAGCAACTGAAGCAGAGACTTTCTGAAAATCTAGATGTATTGAAAAATATTTCACTCCTTTCTGTGAGCAGCATTCTTCAGATAGTAAAGGACATACCTAAATATTGTAAAGTTATGAAATTTGTAGGGGCTACTGATAATAGTGTCGCGGAAGCAGAATATTAGTTAACCAAAATAAACTTAGTTGAACGGACAAACAAAACAGAAACTGAGGCGTTTCGGCGTGAAGTGAGACAATTTAAATATGCCTCATCAAACAGTCCATTCTGTAAGCTCTTTGAATGTGCCATGTCTGCCATGATACTACCCCACTCAAATGCTGACGTAGAGTTTTCAGTGCTATGAATTATATCAAATCTAACATAAGAAACAGGATGAAATTTCTAGATGTTTTTCACGCAAATTTAGATGTCTTTAGATAACTATCTTTAGATAACTGTCTTTTGACTCAATTCTGGATGTTTTTTGTCAAAGAAAAGTGGCAACTGCCAGCCAGCAGTCAATCGAAGGTCGTATACCAAATGAAGGCTGACTGATTTGGATCCCTAAACCTTTCTGCTCATCGTCTTAGTTGTACACTGACTCAGACTATCAATCGTCCATCTCTTGGTGTTATCCTTTCACGCATATGGCTTGAACACTTAAATTTTGTTTTTACCAGATTACTTAAATACTAGGATCAGATGCGCCGCCACGAAGAAAATATTAGGGGCACACAGCCCTTACCACCCCCCTCCTTTCAACCTTACAACTTTTCTGGGCTAAAAAAAGATTGATTTATAAGGTGTCTAAGTCCTCCTTCCCCCTTCCCCATACAGCCGCATTCTCCTCACTACCCAAACAAATAACTGGGTGGGTGCTCAGACCC